TTTTACCCCTTGGGAGGGTGGAAGTCGAAATTCCCCATGCAGAGGATGCGAGTCATCATTGCTAATGGAGCTGGCTATCTTCTGTAACTGTCAGTTACAGGGACCCTAGGCTCATCTGAGGCTCACCAATCAGCCAACTGGACTATTTCACAATCTGACTCAGTCTGTTTCTGTCCTTTAAAGACAGGTTACCAAAGAAAATGATAAAACAGACTCAATGAAAGCAAGATAAAATAGTGTCGGCATGGTTTTGTTAATATGAAAGGAAGACATTTTCCTTAAACAGTACAAGCTGGTGAACCTTTTTGCACAAAGCTTCACTGTTTGCTTCAAAGTTCAGTTTGAATTCAACAATAGACCTAAGGTATTTATAAGATTGCATAGTTTTCTAAAAATTATGACCATATCCATTTGAACTGTACTACTGTACTGTAATGCACCTGATAAGTATTCTGCCATGTTGCTCTAATCTTATACTCATAGTCATCTCTCTAATTAAAATAATTATTAATTTTATTAGGGTCCAAGCACCGACAGTACCCTTGAAATTGGTCCGATGATTTTTATTATTTCGTGCGCCACATGAAACACATTTTTTAGGGCCTAAACATGCTTGAAAACTCATGAAACTGACAGAAAATTCAAGAATGTGTCATTGGCGTGACAAAATTGCTAAACAGCACCCCCTAAAATGCAGCCCCGAAGTTCATCGATCTTCACGGAAATCAGTACACACGTGAATGTAAAATGCAACAGGAAGTAGGCCATTTCGGTAAGTGTTATCTTAATTCCATGGAGATTAAAACTACCTAAAAAATTTTGTTGTACGTCACACGGTCTGATCGTGCTGCGGCGTCAAAGTTTGAGGATTAGCCAAAAAAGAGGGATATATTATAACTCCTCTGTGCATTGTCCAATCATTCCTTGATGTACTGCTGCTGGCAGCTTTACAATATCCAGCTAAAATGAGACATAAGAAGCTATAAGAACATGGTCACAATTGTGACATTCCCTCAAACTGTGAAAACGCCCCAAAATTCTCACCTATAATCAGACTCCCGATTTAAACAGATCTATTAGTCTGTTTGTAGTTCAATTAAATTCAATTTTATTTATATAGCGCCAATTCATAATTTACATTATCTCAAGGCACTTTACATTTAAAGGTCAAGACCTTAAAACAATATTAACGTAGAGAAGCCCAACAGTTCCCACAATGAGCAAGCACAGGCGACTGTGGAGAGGAAAAACTCCCTCATTAACAGGGAGAAACCTCTGGCAGAACCAGGCTCAATGTGGGCGGTCATCTGCCTCGACCGGTTGGGGTGAGGAAAG